CCACTGGTGAACTCTGCTCTATTGAGCTGATCTTAAAACGTCCATTGGGTCATTTTCTGTAATGGAAGCATAATCTTTTGTTACAGCACTGCAGTTTCTGGCCAGAGTAGCAGAGGGGGTGCCTTTCTCAGATGCGTGTACCTTTATGTTGCTTACTTGTTCTGGGCCGATTGCAAGCAGCATTCTCCCCTGGGCACGAGCGCAGGACATGGATGTGTGAAATGAAAAGACCCTTTATTACCTAATTGCAGAGCTAGTGGGTGTGCAGCAGGTTGAACTTTCCTAAAAACATTTATACCCCATCCTGGCGTTGGAAGCGTTGCCTTAGCGTTCAGCAGCTTTGGATCCAAAGGTGTGTTTCGCAGCTCTCCGCCTCGGCTGCGTACCCTCAAGGCTGCCTCAGCGTGGTTGCGTCTGCTTTCTCTCGCTGTCTTTGGTAGTGTTTGAGAGCAAGTCTCGCTGAGTCAGGGAGATTTAAGCTTTTGGTGCCATTGGGTGATTTTTTAGGAACTCCTGCTCCGTCCCTCTGCAGATATCAAGTGCAGTTTAGCTGCAGGCAGGATCCTGGCAGCACGATGACTGTTCAGTGAGACTTGGGTATCTGGCTGCTGCCTCTGTGTCTTCAAGACGTCAGGAATGAGAGTCAAAGCAAATATTCCTTCTCTGTTACTAGTTCATCATCCCGAGCATCTGAGGCTGCTAACCACCATAACCCACAGCGGGGACCACATAAAGTCTTAATTGGGATGACTTGCACAGTTAATTGCAGCTACAATGTTGTTTCCTAGTATGTTCTACATAACTGGAATGAGAAGAAATAACTTTTAAAGGGGGGAAAACCCCAGAGGATAATGTCAGCCTAGCTTGGGAAGGAGGGGGGAGGGAGGAGGAGGAGGATTCCCGCAAATCTCAGGCTGGCTTGTGGCAGGGGAGAATGTGAAGGATTTAACTACACTTTTGGCAAGAATAGACGCTTTGGAATCTGGGGTGGGTCAGTTGTGAGGAAGGGTTGGGAGCCGTAGGTGCTGCCGAGGAGAGAAACAGAGGAAATCGGAATTTCTCTGTTATCTTTAAAGTTTGGCGGTGTTCTGCAGAGGGAATGTCTGAACCTGTAGCAACCTTCCCTCGAATCCTGGGAGCTGGGAAAAAAACCTGGGGCCAGAAGAAGACAGTGCCTCTATTTTTATTAAAGATCAGAGGAAAGAACTGGAAAACTAATAGGAAAATATTAAAATGGGCTGATATGTTTTGCCCATATAACGGTGTGTGTTTATAAAGACTTGAAAGAAAGCTCTCCATATTAAACAGCGTTAATGCATTAGAATTGTGTTTGCAAAACTAGTACTGTTTATCTCATTATTTTGTAAGCAGCCCAAACCAGTTAACTGTATGGTTCCCTTTGTGGCTCTGAGGCAGGCTTAGAACAGAGTCCTTCACACCAGTATAGCTGAATTTTAATACATCGTCACCTGGATGTAGTAATACTAAATTTGTTGTAAATATTACTGACTGAATGATAAATAAAATCTCTTTCTTCCCCTTCAGCTCAATGTGGTTATCAGATCGTCGTTGCAGAATCTCCGAGAGAAGATCGATCAGCTGAAGGACTTGCTGCTTCGGGCTGTATCAACACACCAAGTGTATCTGTGTAAACATCAACTCACTGACCTTTCTGTATTGTGTGAGAGAGTGGAAAAATATGCTAGGCTTGCTCTGCCACGCCGTTAGGGTTTTTCCCTCGTTCCATTTTTAGAAGACTTTGTCACTAGGACTTTGTGCCGCTGCTGTCGTCATTGCAGCTGTAGTGCAGGAAGGGTCGGGAGCCTGGTGTCCCTGGTGCAGTGGGCATGAGGCTGGCTTCGGTCACGTTTGTGTCCGAGGGAAGCTTAGCAAGGTGGTCTGAATGATCACGGAGCTGCCATTGTCATGGCACTGCTGGTTGAGTGGCTGATTTGTGCGCTAAGGTCACTCATCTAGCCGGAAGCTCGCTAATCTGTTGTTTTCTCTTGGCTCAGTCGCTGGCTGCAGGGCTGCCAGTGCCTGGAAGACGGAAGGATGGAGCCTTGTTCAGGGTGTGGGCAGGGATATGGCAGCCCTGACTTGGACTGACTTGAGGAGCAATGGAACTGCATCTTCAGAATTATGTCTGAATGCTTTAAAACATGCCTTAGAAATCAGACCTTTTATTCTAGGAGTGTTACCCTATGGCCTGGCTTGGGTTCGCTGCTGTTTCCATATATATTGGGATGGTCAGGACTAAGGATTTGAAGAAGATATTTGGCAGAAATCTGATTTAATGAATAAATGTTTAATTTCAAGCTTACTCTTGCAGAAATCCCTTTTAAGCAGGGGCCCCCTGAGTGCTGTGCTGATGGCTTCAGTAAAACTTTCCTGTCCAGCGAGTGCTCGAGAGCAGACAAATGCTACTGCTGTGGCAGAAAGCAGGCACAGATCAGTTCAGCTATTGCATAATCTACTGGATAGTGATTAGAAGAGAGTTTGTAGTCCTTCAGTCACTAAGATTGCAGCCCAGAGGAGAAGGACTTGGGGGTACTGGTGGACGAAAAACTGAACATGAGCCGGCAGTGTGCGCTGGCAGCCCAGAAAGCCAACCATATCCTGGGCTGTATCCAGAGAAGTGTGACCAGCAGCTCGAATGAGAGGATTCTGCCCCTGTACTCTGCTCTGGTGAGACCCCACCTGGAGTGCTGCATCCAGCTGTGGAACCCACAACACCAGAAGGATATAGACTGGTTGGAGCTAGTCCAGAGGAGGCCACGGAGATGATCAGAGGGCTGGAGCACCTCTCCTATGAAGAAAGGCTGACATAGTTGGGCTTGTTCAGCCTGGAGAAGAGGAGGCTCCGAGGAGACCTCATCGCAGCTTTCCAGTATCTGAAGGGGGCCTACAAGGGTGCTGGGCGAGGACTTTCTACAAGAGCCTGTAGTGATAGGACAAGGGGTAACGGGTACAAATTGAAATCAGGGAGTTTTAGGTCAGATATCAGGAAGAAGTTCTTCACAGAGAGGGTGGTGAGGCACTGGAACAGGTTGCCCAGAGATGTTGTGGAGGCCCCATCCCTGGAAGTGTCCAAGGCCAGGCTGGATGAGGCTTGGAGGAACCTGGTCTAGTGGAAGGTGTCCCTGCCCATGGCACGGGGTTGGAACTAGATGGTCTTTAAGGTCCCTTCCAACCCAAACCATTCTATGATTCTATGATTCTATGATCAGCTGCGTAGGGCTTCTTAGTGATAAGTGAGAGAATAATTAAGTTGAATTTTGGAGGGGAAAATGCTATTTTAATACTTATTCTAATTTGGCAGTTAAGAGCCTTCCAGTTCTCTTACTACTTTGAGCTGATGACCTGAAGTTCACTCTGTGGTCACTGTATGAAACTTTTTCTTTGGGATATGTAAACTTCTGGAACACATTTAGAATAACAGCAGATTTCGTTCAGAAAAATGTGACCTATCTTGGATGTTACAGCCTTTTCTTGAGTTAAAATAGTTCTTGTAGTTAATTATCGTGATCATGAGGTCTGCTTCATTTTAAGTATATATAACAGGTATTATTTTGTTACATAAATTGAAGTTTTTCAATGTTTTTAAGTTTGGTCCTTAACCAAGTATCATCAGCACACAGCTGGAGGGAGACAGGAGGCAGAATTTGGTGGATGATCTTCTCACACGGCAGAAACAACTTCAGGCATCTTACAAGAATGAAGGCCCAGAACCAGACATGATAAGGTATGACACTGTCCCCTGAAATGAGCAGTGTGAGCTGTGCTTGGAGTCTCTCTGAAGGTAGTGTTGAATGCATCCATTGAGCTCCTGTACCTCTACGTGTAGCAAACTGCAGTTTCATTTGCCTAGAAATCATGTGCTTTTTTAGTGACAGTATCACATAGTGTCTGCAAAGCTGGAAATAATGTGAGACTCCTTTTTCTTTTAATGTGTTATAACTGCTCCATGAATTAGTTGCTGGAGGAGAGAGAGGAGAAAAGGGGTAGCAATAAATAAGCCTTGTTCCTAAGCTGGTAGCCAGGCTATGGACAGCAAAACAAAGCTATCGTTTTCTCCTTCCTCTGCAAGCAAATGGGGTAGATGGGGTTGTGGTACGTTATAATTGAATTGGCAGGTGTTGAGGGACAACTTTAGAAGGATCCTCGTGATTCACTGGATGATGGGCTTTGACCTCTGTTAGCCTTGAGCCAACATGCATGCAAAAAATGAAAAGCCCCACTATCAAGAGTGTGACTTACCTGCCTCCTGACCCCATGCAGGTCACTAAATACAGCTCTGTGTGAGAGTTACTGTTTTGGCTAAATTCCAGTGCAGGTAATTGCATTTGTCCTTCCTAATTTTTCCTTTGCAGATTCAGGTAATCTTCTGTCCCGCAGAACGATGCAGAGGAGAATTGGAGCTGCACTCTGAGTTTGCAGAGCTTGCTCTATTTCCACGGCCAATGAAATGACTCTGAGTGTAGCCTGTAAGTGGTAATGCATTGTTTTAAAGCATCTTAGTTTTTACAAAGTGAACATACATTCGCAGAAGTTTTATACGAGTCATGGCCGCTGGGCCCACGCACCTGTTTTGTTGGTGTGTGTGGAGTGGTAATGCAGCAGGCACAGGCGTCTTGGGCTGGCTGTGGGTCATGCGGGGGGCCATGCTCTGCCCTGTCAGCCCTGCACAGTGCTGCGTGTGTGGTCTGGGTCATGCGGTGTGGCTGAGCAGAGCTTCCTCACCTCTGCTGACCGTGGCGGAGCGCGATTTGCCTCTGAAGAGTGCAGCTGTACTTCTCCGACATGGACCTGCGATAGAAATACGTGTTTTTAAAACAAGTTTAGCTCGTGCTGCTGAGTGGCAGGCATTTTCTAATGCACTCTGTTCTCTGAGCCTTTTCTGTAGCAAATGCAGAGTGTTGCATTTTATACATGCACACGTGAGGTTAGTTGGGGGCAGAGTGTTAGAGCCCTCCTGAGAAGGTTTCTCATCTTTTGGCAATATGCCAGCGCCCGGTCTTAGAACAGAAGAACACTTCATATACTTTTAACTCTTCACACTAGTGAGGAAATACCTCAGCCTTTTTGCTGTTTTTCCCCGAGATCCTGTCCCTTTTCAGCGCTGTGCTCTTGAAAAAGGCAGTTTTGAAGCTGTTGCGTCGTAAAAAACTGGGTACCCCTGTGAACGCTGTGTCCTACCATAACTGTTGAAAATAAGGGGAGTTTTCCTACCTCATTTACTTTGTGTAGCTTAGAGCTGGCCTAAGAGACACGGGAAGTTTAACGGGTAGTTTCTGTATTCACGTGTGCATTCCTGTTTTGGAGTCCGTTCAGTACCGTGGTGCAGAGGTTGGTTTCTGCTCGCTGTGTTCTCCGTGCGGTGTTTGGCACAGCCAAAGCACGTGTTTTGGTTTGTGTTTGTTGTCTTTGCGCTGTCAGTGCAATGCCTGCAGCAGGTGATAAGACTACACTTTGGTCAAATCCATTAATTGTTCTAGGTTTGGCATTCTCCAGAGTGTGGCGCAAAGCCAGTTGGTGCATTGGTGCTGGCTTTTACATCTGTTGTTGAGCCAGCTGAGCCGTGTCAACCAGCAAGCAGGCAAGATGTCCACGGGGACTGATGGTGTGAGAAAGCTCTGGTGTGTTGCCTGCTCTGAGCAGTCCATAAACTGATCTGGCTGTCTGAAGCGTGGCCGTCCTTGTGGCAGGACAGCCTGGCAGGCTACTGCTGTGGGGCAGACAGGGTGAGGATTCACCCTGGAGCTGCCCTGGCGTGAACGTGTCCAGCGGGATGGGAGGGAAGTATTTAAGTCCCATGATAATTTCAAGATCTGTTAGAAATGATCAGGAAAACCAGTATTTTCCAGCACCAGATAACATCAGAGACAGTATTTATTTGGTAGTGTTGCAAGGCTTGAGGCTTTATAGTTCTCTTTCAACTTCTTTAATTAAAAATGGGTAAAACTATACCAGCTATTCTCTGCCTGGTGAATTTGTGCCCTTTCCATGTTCTCCCTTGTAGGTCTTGTTTTCAGTGGTCGGGCAGAGACATAGCCAGGGCCCGAATTTTGTGCCAGTAAGGCGAGCCTTTCTCTCTTGCCGGAGCCTGGCCCGCACGTAGGTCGGTGAGGAAGGAGCATGCTCCCCTGCCTGCCTTTCTGCTTGCAGGGACAGAACACAACAGCTTCTGGTAGGGTTAAGCTGCTATTTACAGCACTGGGTTTCTCTAAAATCATTGCAGACTTCTGGAACTGCCTGCTTTGGATTTCAGTTGGTGGCAAAGGCCACTCTTCCGTGTGTCTGCAGCCTGGAAACCAGCTTTTCCCACTGCATTAGAAAAATCATTACATGTTGTTTGATTAAGTTCTAGCAGTGACACTTCTCTCTGGTTTTGTATTGGTTTTCTGTATCTAATCCACCTCTGATGTGACAGCACACATTTTCAGAAGTCTTGTTCTTTCCAGCAGTCATTCCTTTCATTAACCTTCTTGCACCACTGATCACATATTTATTGTCCCCGTGGCCTATAACTGTGAAGGTTTTACTAGAATTAATCTTCGTTTATATTTGGTCACCATTCAGTGAGTTTTACATCCTTTGAAAACTGCTGTAAAGCTGTTTCTGATTGTGAAGTACAGTGGCCTTAATGCTCTTGGTATTTATCCTAACTGACAACTTGGGCCGGAACACCGGGCAGGACACTACATTACTTCGGTTGAGCATTCGGTTACCTTCCGGCATTGTCGGCCTTAATTAAGATGCAACTGGAATTTTCCAGGGGAAAGGCTCTGCTGTGACTTCGCTTGAGCAGGGTCAGTTAAATTTTCTTTAATTGCTTTTGGTAGGCAATTTCAGTATCTTCTCCCCTCTTTTCTCCTTGGAAAGAGATCTGTACAACGTATTCTAACAGAAGCTTTGGTGGCTTAGAAATCCCCATGGTTTCACACTATTTGAAAGTGTGAAGAAAACACCTAGAAACATTGACTTTCTGGAAATCACAGTATCAAAATCTTGTGAGTCTTTGATGTGGAGGCAGAGGAATGAGGAATATTCTTCCTCCTGCCTGACCAGGTAGTCAGTATGTAGGAGTATGTGCCTACATAAACTGTGTTTACTTCAGCATGCCTTTCTTGGTTTCTCTTTGAATTTCTCAAAGAGACAGAAAACTTGTGATAGCTGTGGGACACCAACCACCTGAAGTTATGGCTACCCTAGGGAACTTAGAAGAGTCCATATTCCTTTTTATTTTTTTTATGGTGGGTTTCCATAATTTTCCTTAAAGACTTTTTCTGTTAGATGTGGGGCATTAAGGTCTTATTCCAAGCAGGCATTTTGCCTAATGCCAAACAGGCAATGAGTGCCTGACTAATCAGCATGTCATTAGGTGCTTAAATGCTTTTGTGAATCTGGCTGTTGCTTATGGAGGAGCAAACGCTCTTTGGAAAATAAGATTAAGAATAGTTGTGTAGGTGCTTTTACAACTCCCTCCTGCTTTCCTTCCTCCCTACCAGTTACTGTTGGAAGCCCTCCTGGCTGCAGCTACGGCGTTCTGATGTCAGCTGTGCTTAGCCTTGTGTCTTGCAGATGGATGGAAAGGGTGTAAGAGGTGGATTGTTCATCCAGAAACCCATGCCAGAGAGCATCCAAGGCTTGGGTCATTCAAGTCTAGGGGCTGGATTTCCCAGGATTAATGTGTCTCTGGCTGTGTAGTCGCAAACCAACATGGTTGTAATTCAACAGCCTCCTCATCCCCTAAACTGTGTCTCTGTACTTGGGTCATCTCCTGTCGTACCACTTGTCACCGGGAAGCACTCTGCAGGTCACAGCCTGTGCAGGTGTGAGTGCATCCTCATGCGAGTAGCAGGTACTGTGCCTGTGGAAACCTGAGGGTTGTTGTGCTCACCCCAAATTTAAGGAAGAGTCCAATAAGACAACGAAGTCTCCTTGGGTGAGTCTGTGCTCAGGGGACAGTTTGCATCTGTTCCTTCAGAGACTACCAGAGAGTCCTTGAGGACTTCACCGAAGTCAGGACTGTGGTTGTGAGAAAACTGCATATGGTTGCATTTATAAGGAATAGCAAAGAACGGATTAAAGACAACAGAGAAAAGTAAGTCAAACCTCGTAATTTTGGGTATTGTGCTTCAGGTTGTGCCTGCATGCCTGTTAAAGCTTAGTGCTCATTAGCCTCAGGAAAGAATGTCAGTAGGAGGGCAGCTTTCAAGACTGAGCTCTAGGCTTTGTTTTGCCTTCTAAGTTTGCTCAAAACTACCAGAAGTTTCCTGCCCAAGGTTGTTTCTGCCCCAGCAGCATCAGTGTTACTCTGGCGTGGGTCTGTGGTGGGAACACACGCTGAGCTGAGACCTGCTTGGAGGCTCACGCTCTGCTGCCTGTGCTGGGGCAGCTTCAGCCGCCACACCGGGAGCGAGGGCGCCGGCATGAACCTAATGCTGCGTCTTGTCCGAAAGCAGCCCTCTGGATAGCTCTGGGGGGAATTCCATCGCCTCGGGCGCAGGGTGGGAGTTAGAGGTGATGGAGTTGTTGATCTTTTTGTGAACAGGACAGATAGTCTCACAGCGGTGGATTTGTCCCCTCACCTTTTCTCTGGATGTAATTGTACAAGGTGCAGCCTCTTCCTAGAAAGAATTCTCCTTTCTTATAATTGTCTCTTTCCCACAGAGTGTGAGTGGGCTGTAGAGGCGAGACTCTTATGATGAGGAGTATATAGGCTGTTTTCTAATATGTTTA